TCTAAGCTCAGCTCGTCTCTGGGGGGATTCAGTCAAGGATGATCCCGTCCCAATGCGTAACACTCACAAATGCGGTTCATAAAACTGGTGTACACACTGCAAGTGAAATGGGCCTGTGGGTAAGGACGCAAAACCCACCGTGCAGAAAAGGAGCCCACGTGTAAAAAGGAGGAAATGGATGCCAGGCGTGGGCTTCACAGGCACGGCTTCTGAACGTACCCAGGCGCAGGCTTTTACTGTGAACGTTGCCCTTCCTGCCCTGACTGGATGGCCAGGCCCCCTCGCCTGCTAGCCCCGTAGCCACGGGAGGCCTTCTGTGGCGAAGCCGTGGGGCAACCCTAGCTGGAAAGAGAAGGCTTAGAGGGGACATGATCGCAGTCTTCAGATATCCGAAGGGCCGTCATGTAGAAGATGGAGCAGATCTATTCTCTCTTGCTACAGATGGCAAGACTAGGTCTAATAGGTGGAAATGACAAGGGAGTCGTTACTGGCTAAATATCAGGAGAAACTTCCTAACTGTGAGAGTGGTGGAGCAGTGGAACAGACTGCCTCGGGATGTGGTGGAGGCTCCTTTGCTGGACGTTTCCAAGCGGAGGCTGGACGACCATCTTTCGGGAATGTTGTGGGGCTGCCTTTCGGCTCTGCTCCTGCGGGGTGCAGGGGGTTGGACTAGATGTCCTGCAAGGTCCCTTCCAGCTCTCACATTCTGTGCTTCTATGGTTTGGTCTCCTGGTGGAGGGTGACTCTAGGAAGGGCAAGGAGGCCTGAAAGGGGTTGGCAAGTTCCTCCTGTCCACTGGTGGGGGATGGAGAGACAGAGTTGGCAGATTCAGGTTGTGGAACCCCTGGAGGTTTGGGGATGGAACCGGGGGTGGGGGTGGGACAAGGGCCTCAGCATGACACAATGCCACAGAATCCACCCTCCGGAGCAGCCATTTTCTCCAGGGGAACTAATTTCTGTAGTCTGGAGATGAGCTGTAATTCCAGGGGACCCCCCTGGTCCCACCTGGAGGTTGGCACCAACGCTCCCTCTAAGCTGTGGAGTCTTGCGAACAACAGTTCTACTTTGTGAGCTTCTGACATTAAAGTTGTGAGCGAGCCATTTGGCTGCTGCGTAAGTTAGTTTGCTCTGGAGCCCCATCCTTCCTGAGCCGAGACGAAAATGTGTGAGCCGGAGGCTAAAAAACGGTGAGCTAGCTCGCACTAACTCAGCTTAGAGGGAACACTGGTTGGCACCCCCTAGGCCTAACTGGGGAGTGACACCTGGCCTAAAGGTCCCCTGTTGCCCAAAGCTGAGATCTGGATCAGTCCGATTCACTTCAAGCTTCTGGTGAAAAGCTGAGCAAGGTCTTTGGGGGCAGGTGGGTCCTGATTCCCAAAGGGAGGGGGAGTGAGTGAGTGAGAGTGCCGGTCGGTCCCTCCCCTCGGCCATCCATCGCAGCCTCACTCTGGCCCCGCTGTGACCACATTTATTCATTCCATTTATTTACGTGAGTCATGGCCAGTGTTCCCTCTAAGCTGAGCTAGTGTGAGCTAGCTCACCGGTTTTTTGCCTCCAGCTCACACATTTTTGTCTTAGCTCAGGAAGGATAGTTCCAGAGCAAACTAATATATGCAGCAGCCAGATCGCTTGCCCACAACTTTAAGGCCAGTAGCTCACAAAGCAGAATTTGCTCACAAGACTCCACAGCTTAGAGGGAACATTGGTCATGGCCCACTTTTCCCACCGGGCCACAAGGCCGATCACCCACAGAGTGAGCCAAGGCAGTCGACAGGATGGAACCAATGTTCCCTCTAAGCTGAGTTAGTGTGAGCTAGGTCACAATTTTTTAGCCTCCAGCTCACACCTTTTTCTCTTAGCTCAGGAAGGATGACTCCAGGGCAAACTGATTTAGGCAGCAGCCAAATCGCTCGCTAACAATTGTATTGCCGGGAGCTCACAACGCAGACATTTTGCCCACAAGACTCCACAGCTTAGAGGGAGCATTGGAGGGGTCGTCCAGCGAAACAACGCAATAGGATGAGGGTCGTAGAACCAACCAGAAATCTAAAAAAATAGAATGGAAGCCAAGCAGAAGCCTGAACGTGACACATTAAACAATGCAAAAACCACACGGTAGGACCCTGCTTGCAGCGAGCCGCACGCGTCACTGCACACCGCAGTCCCTGAGCATTTATCCTAGTAAGTTTACGGGGAACGGAAAGGCGGTTCTTCTTGTCCATGCCAGTGCCTCTCAAGTGAGCGGGCAGCCATGGCTGGGGATTCTCACGGAGGCTTCGGCCATAAGCAGGGCCTGCGAAGCTGCTGTGTAGCGAATTGCACCCATATCGTCTGTTGCGTCTGGCCATGGCTTTGCGGGTTTCTTGACTGGGTGAACTTAGGCAATTCATGAGAGGGAGGGCAGGAAGGGTTGCCTCAGTGCTTAGCTCTCATGGCCCTTTCTTACACGTCCAGGGAAATGCTGATCATAGAATTATAGAATGTTAGAGTTGGAAGGGACCTTGCAGGTCATCTAGTCTCACCCCCTGCACTCTGCAGGAGCCGAGCCGAAAGAGAGCCCTACAACATACCCGAAAACGTCCAGCGAAGGGGCATCCCCCACCTCCCGAGGCAGTCCATTCCACTGCTCAACCACTCTTACAGTTGGGAAGTTTCTCCTGATATTTAGCCGGTAGCGACTCCCTTGTAATTTCCACCCGTTAGATCGAGTCTTGCAATCCGGAGCAAGAGAGAATAGATCATAGAATCATAGAATGTTAGAGTTGGAAGGGATCTTTCCAGGTCATCTAGTCCAACCCCCGGCACTCTGCAGGAGCCGAGCTGAAAGGCAGCCATAGAACATACCCGAAAACGTCCAGCGAAGGAGCCTCCACCACCTCCCGAGGCAGTCTGTTCCACTGCTCAACCACTCCTACAGTCGAGATGTTTCTCCTGATATTTAGCCGGTAGCGACTCCCTTGTAATTCCCACCCATTAGATCTAGTCTTGCAATCCGGAGGATCGATCCGATCCATCTTCTACATGGCAGCCCTTCAAATATTTGAAGCCTGCAAAGTGATTGCCGCGTTGGGGTCAGGAAACCATTTTTCTCCAGGCCAGTTTGGCTGGGGATCCTGGAGTTTTTTTGTCATCTTCTGGGCCCGGAACAGGGGTCACTGGCGTTGTGTGTGTAGGAGGGAGATATTTGTGAACTTCCTGCATTGTGCAGAGGGTTGAACTAGATGACCCTGGAGGCCCCTTCCAACTCTATGATTCTGAGGTGTCCAGGACAGGGAAAGGTCTTTCCCAGGACCAGTGACCTGAACTCCTTGAACTAGAGATGCTGGGACTTGAACCTGGGGACCCCCTGCATGGAACACAGGTCCACTGAGATGTGTGCGCCCCCCTCCCCCGCTTTTCCCCACAACAGACACTCTGTGAGATCGGTGGGGCTGAGAGCTCTCCTGAGAACTGCTCTTGAGAGAACAGCTCTGAGAAAACTTGTGGCTGACCCAAGGTCACCCAGCTGGCTGCATATGGAGGAGAGGGGAATCAAAACCGGTTCTCCCAGATTAGAGTCTGCACTCTGTCCTAATGCAACTGAAGCTCAAATACTTTGGCCACCCAATGAGAAGGGAGCACTCCCTGGAGAAGAAGACCCTGATGCTGGGAAAGATCGAAGGTCAAAGAAGACGGGGACGGCAAAAGATGAGATGGTTAGACAGGGTCATCGATGCAACGGACATGAAATTGAGCCAACTTCAAACGATGGCAGAAGACCGGAAGGTCTGGCGTGATCTGGTCCATTGGGTCGCGAAGAGTCGGACTCGATTGTGCGACTGAACAACAACTCTGTCCTAACCCCTACACCAAACTGGCTTCAGGCAGCTTTTCCTGAAGAATTCCCAAAGTCGGGAAAAGAAGGTTTTGCTGTCTTCCTGGTGGGCGGCCAGACTGCTCTTTCCTTAGGGATGCAAAACCTTCAAGGGAAGCCCCTAAACCTGTGTTACTTCCGGCTGCAGGGTTGGGCCAATTGAAGCAAATTTGATCTTCCTTGACTGGGAGGTTTTGTGTCCCCCAGACTTTGGTCTGAGCGGTCAAACACTCCCACCTAGTGGTGGATTCATAAATTACAAGTCCTTTATTCCGCCAAGTAAACAAAGTCAATCCCAGGCAAAGGCGGCTTCTGCACTAGGAGGATCCTTTTGCCGAGATCAGGCGTGTCCTTTTCGGCAGTCACCTGCAAACAGAACTGAAACTGGGATTCCATACAGCATGTAACAGAGCATTTTGCTGTTGTTCAGTCGCACAGTCGAGTCTGACTCTTTGCGACCCCATGGACAAGACCCAGCTGAGCTCTGAGCAGGAGCAGGAGACAGAGGGGTGAGTGGTTTTTTACTTGCTTTCAGCTGAGAGGATTCAGCTGAGGATATTGGTGGGAGAACTGGTCTGGGAGTGTGGGGTGGGGGTTGCAGCTTACCTGGCTGCTTCTTGCGCTGACTGAGGGCTGCTGGGAGCAGGGGGTGGGGCTTGTTGCATGTGCCCGCCCCCTGGGCTCTTTACTGCTGGAGCTCCGCTCCTGTGCGCTCCCGCAGGAAAGGACCTCTGTTTAAAAGTATACCGCCTTTTGAACGACTCTGCTCCTGAAATATCGAAGAAGGTAGCCATGTTTCTACAATCAGCTATGAAGCCACGACAGGAAAAACTGAGTAATACTTTGTAACAAATTGATTTATGCAAAATTATGTCATATGCTTGGCTCTATATGTATGGTTTCATATGATTTGATATGTATAATCCTCTTTTTTATAGTAACCCTCTTTTAAGGTATTGTTTTATGCCAATAAAGGCTGACGGACTGACTGAAAGGCAAAACTGAAGTCAGACTGCCGTAAGCTGTCTTGCCTGTTGTCCTTCACCAATGAATGATGATTAGCTGTGGGAGAGCCAGTATGCGCCCCTCTCCAAGCGCCCACCCCCACCCCCAGTGCCTTCCTTACAGCTTCTTCTCTCTTCCCCAGGCCTCTCTCATCCTGCAAGTCTCCTACACGCCTCCTCCCGGGGCTGCTCCTTTCTTCCCCCCTCCTGCCCCCCTTGAGCCAAACCCAACGCCCGTGGAGGTGGACACGGTCACAGGTGAGTGGGGTCTTGTCCTTCCCTTTTGCACTGGCTTCGCCAACAGGGGAGCCCCCGAGGCCCAGAGGAATTGCCGCATGCTGCGCTGGACGGAAGGCCCTCCCAGGTCCAGAGTTCTCCACAAAGTTGCTGGCAAGGCTCCCTCTAAGCTGTGGAGCCTTGTGAGCAAAGATTCTACTTTGTGAGCTCCTGGCACTAAAGTTGTGAGCGAGCGGTTTGGCTGCTGCCTTCGTTAGTTTGCTCTGGGGCCCTCCTTCCGAAGGCAAAAATGTGTGAGCCAGATGCTAAAAAACTGTGAGCTGGCTCACACTGACTCAGAGGGAACGCTGGTGGCTGGCTCCGGTTTGGGAAATACCAGGAGTTTGTGGCATAGAGCCTGGGGAGGGTGGGGTTGGGGGAGGGGAGGGACCTCAGCAAAGTACACTGCCGCAGAGCAGGGGTCTAGGGGTCCCCAGACTTTCTGAGTCCGTGGGCACCCTTGGAATTCTGACCCAGGGGTGGTGGGCACAGCCGCAAAATGTCTCCCGCAGGGGACGGAGCAATGCACACACAGAAAGCCCAAAGGCAGGGGAGAAAAGGGGCAATTTAAAAATGCACTGGGAAGGAGAGGCAATAACACCAGCACTGTGGTTGCAGCGGCCACTGGGACAATGTTATGTCAATCTGCATAGCCAATCCGGTCTTCCGTGGCAGAGCAGAAGCCCTCCTGGTCAAGAGCCCCACTCGGCCCCACCTACTCTGGCAGGCCCTGTCACACCCTTGGCAGGGCCAGCTCGCTCACTAGGCGAACTAGGCGTTTGCCTAGAGCAGGCCGGCCCTTAGGGGCACCAAACTGCACCTGCCCCCCCGCCAAAAGCCCCCCCCACCAAAAGCCCTGCATGCATCTAGTCCCTGACCAGGGGACCGCCGCCGCTGCCTCTTTCACCCAGAGTCTGGTGCCCAGAAGCGGGGAGGGAAGGAAGCGAGGAGGGAGGAAGTGCCCCCCCCGCTGCGCTCGGGGCCTGTCCTGAGGCGCAGGTGGCCTGCAGGGCGGGGAGGAGGCGGACGGCACTGCCTGAAGGGCCCAGCAGCAGGGCGGCTCAGGTAGGCACGCATGGTCCATCAAGGGGACTTGAGCAGACCCGCTGCCGCTTCCTCCTCTGAGACAGGCCTGCTCGGACCGGATGACTCCTCCACGCCGCCCTTGGTGAGTCTCCTGGGCGCCGCCCCCATGGGGAGCGAGGGGACGGGGCGCACGCAGCTGGGGGGGGAAGAAGAGACAGGGGAAGCGGGCGAAGGGGGAAAGAAAAAGCAGACGGGCCGCCCTCCGAAGAGCTTGTAGCCCCCTCTCCCCCCACACCTGATACGCCCAGCTTAGCACCCGGCTTGAGCGCTGGAGAGGCATGCGGCGGCAGGGAGGGGACACAAGGTGACGGGGGGAGGTGCTAGTTTCGCCTAGGGCACCAAAAAACCTTGGGCCGGCCCTGACCCTTGGGCACCACCACGCTGGGGTTTCCTGCCATACAGTCCACCTTTTAAAGCAACTTTTGCCCCAGGGGAACTGACCCCTGCCGTCTGGAGATCAGTGGTAATACTGGGAGAGTTCCAGGCTCTGCCTGGAGGTGGAATTCCAAAAACAACATCCGTGACAAAAATAACGAAGAGTCAATAAAGATAAGTTTAAAGATGGTAAAAGGCCAGGCCGGCCTTTTACCATCTTCGGCTGGCTCGGCAGTTGGTTCCCTTTCTCGACCGCGATGACCTAGCCCACAGTGATTCATGCGACGGTCACCTCGAGGCTAGACCATTGTAACGCTCTCTACATGGGGCTGTCTTTGTCGCAAATCCGGAAGCTGCAGCTGGTGCAGAATGCTGCAGCCAGGCTGTTGATGGGCCTTCCTAGGTGAAAGCGCTGCACTGGCTGCCAATAGCGTACCGGATTCGCTTCAAAGTGCTGGTTCTTACCTTTAAAGCCCTAGATGGCCAGGGTCCGACATACCTACGGGACCGCCTCTCCCCATATGTGCCCCAACGAGCACTACGGTCCAGGACTAAACATCTCCTGGTGGTTCCAAGTCCCAAAGAGGCCAGACTAGCGGCGACTAGGGCTAGGGCTTTTTCGGTGGTGACTCCTACCTGGTAGAATGAGCTCCCAGAGGAGATCTGGGCCCTGCGGGACCTTGCACAGTTCTGCAGGGCCTGCAAGACAGAGCTCTTCCGCCAGGCGTTTGAGTAGGAGCTGCCACGACTGTTACCATCTGTCTACGACTATTACTATCTTTCCTAGCCCTTTATTACCAACTCACCGTGAGCACTAAAATAGTGGTACTGCGTGGAGCTGTGGCCACTAAGGATACCATCCTGATGACGTCATCTGTTCCCCTGTTAGATAGATGTTGTATTGAATGTTTTTAAAATGCAGTTTTAATGTTTTATGTATTGGGCATTGGCCCCATCTGTATGCCGCCCTGAGCCCGTTCACAGAGAGGGAGGGTTATAAATTTAAATAAATAAATAAGTTGCAAAAACGTTTACTTTAGTGATTTCTGTAGAAAATGCCCTTCTATGATCGCTCACACGCTAACAAATGCTGTGCAATATAAACAATCCGTTTCACAATCTTTGCTCCATCTGAGCGTGTAGCAATCCCAGTTCTTATCAATTACTACTTATCCACTCTTGAAGGAAACTTCCCATGTCGGCGCTCTAATAACCGAACCCAAGGTCTTCACAATGTATAAGCTACAGAAATCACTACAGTAAACGTTTTTGCAACTTATCTTCATTGACTCTTCATTATTTTTGTCACAGATGTTGTTTTTGGAATTCCGCTTCCTCCCGTGGTCTCTCATTTTTGGTTTCTTCCACCTGGAGGTTGGCAACCTATTCTGCATCCTCCCAAAAAAACCACACCAAGTGGTTTTTTTCCTTTTTTTGGGGTGTGTGTGTGAGTATTGTGTGTGTGTGTGTTTGCATGCATGGAAGTCATGGTGGCTTCTGGCGACCCCTACTGGGGCTTGGACGTTTCAGAGAGGTGGCTTGATGTTACCTGCCTCTGCGTTCCCGGCCCTGGTACTCCTTGGAGGTCTCCCTTCCAAATGCTTGCCAGAGTTGGTCCTGCTTAGCTCTCTGAGATCTGACGAGATCGGGCTTGCCTGGGCCGTCCGGGTCAGGGCAGGGCGGTTCTTTGTTGGATCAGTCTGACAGAAGGGTGTGTTTCCTTGTCTTGTGTTCCAGACACGGCCGGGGAGGAAGAGGGGGAGGACCAGCTGGGGACCGGGGATGAGGCGGAGCCTTCTTCGGGGCCTGCAGCGCCCGATCAGCCCTCCCTCCCCAAGAAGCCTCCGCCGCACCCGGTTCATGGGACCAAGAGGAGGAGAAGCACCTCCAAAAAGCTGCTCTCCAACAAACCTCAGGACTTCCAGGTGAGCGGCAGTCATGTGGCCAGCTCCGGGAGTGGCACCGGTCGCCCCCTTGCTCTCTGAACCCGCGAAAGCCGCCGTCTTCTGGTCTGATCTCCTGGCCTTTGGGGCAGGGATTCTAAAAGTGGCGCCCACTCCATGCTCCTTGCCTGGCCGTGCCTGGAGCCTCACTATCCCCGCACCCCACTTCTGGCCAATTAAAATGCATTTTGCCGTCACTGGATTAACGTTTGGGGATGGAGAGTGCCAGGAAGTCATCGCTCACTGATGACGACCCGGTAGGGTTTTCAGGGGCAAGAGGCATTCAGAGGTGGTGTTGCCGTGGCCTGCCTCTGCGTACCGACCTTGGACTTTCCTGGTGGTCTCCCATCCAAGTAGTTTCCAGGGCCAACCCTGCTTAGCTTCTGAAATCTGATGAGGCTGGGCTATCCTTGGCTGTCATGGAATCATAGAGTTGGAAGGGGCCATACAGAGACCATCTAGTCCAACCCCCTGCCCAATGCAGGACCAGCCTAGAGCATGTCTGACAAATATTCATCCAGCTTCTTCTTGAAAGCTGCCAGTGAAGGGGAGCTCACCACCTCCCCAGGCAGCTGATTCCACCTCTGGACCACTCTGGACGTGAAAAAGTTTTTCCTAATCTCCAGCCGATCCCTTTCTGCATGCAATTTAAACCCGTTGCTTCGGGTCCTCTCCTCTGCTGCCAACTGGAACAGCTCCTTGCCCTCCTCCAAATGACAGCCTCTCAGATATTTAAAGAGAGCAATCATGTCCCCCCTCAATCTCCTCTTCTCCAAACTAAACATTCCCAGGGCCCTTAGCCTTTCCTCGTAGGGCTCAGTCTCCAGACCCCCGATCATCCTCGTCGCTCTCTTCTGCACGCTCTCGGTTTTGTCCACGTCCTTTTTGAAGTGAGGCCTCCAGAACTGCACACGGTGCTCCAGGTGCAGCCTGATCAGGGCAGTATACAGAGGGGCTATGACCTGCGGTTTCGATGCCATGGCCCTTTTAATACAACCCAAGTCTGAATTTGCCTTTTTTTGCCACCACATCACACTGACTGCTCATATTCAGTTTCCAGTCCACTCTTACCCCAAGATCTCTCTCGCATACACTACTCCCCAGAAACGTATCCCCCATCCAGTATTTGTGCTTGACATTTTTGTGTCTCCAGGGTCATCTAGTCCAACCCCCTGCACAAGGCAGAGAATTCACAAATACCTCCCCCTCCACACACCCTTCTGGGGCAACAGAAAACAACTTTGTGCCCCAGAGAGCACTACGGTCTGGGGCCCAACAACGTCTATCTATCCCAGGTCCCAAGGAGGCGAGACTTGCTGTTACCAGGGCCAGGGCATTTTCGGTGGTGGCTCCTTACTGGTGGAATGAGCTCCCAGATGGCCCTCACAGTTCCGCAGGGCCTGCAAGACGGAGCTCTTCCGCCAGGCGTTCAAATAGGAGCCACCACCACAATTACCATCAATCCGGAATATCGGACTGGCCCACTCTGAGCCTCAGAGGCGAACATCTGGACCGTGGGACTGATCTTAAGACCTGAAGACAGAAGGAATGCAGATATAAGCCATTCATCTTAAGGTTACTCTGATGTAGCGAGCACTTTATTGTTAAGATTGTTTTTAAGGGATTTCAATATTTGTATTGTTTTATTTGTATCGGCCTGTAGGCCGTCTTCTGTAAGCCGCCCAGAGCCTGTTTACAGGGTGGGCGGGGTATAAATGTAAATATAAATAAATAAACTCTGCACCAATGCTCCCTCTAAACTGTGAAGTCTTGTGAGCGAAAATTCTACTTTGTGGGCTCCTGGCATTAAAGTTGTGAGCAAGCAATTTGGCTACTGCATAAATCAGTTTGCTCTGGAGCACTCCTTCCTGAGCAAAGACAAAAATGTGTGAGCCGGAGGCTAAAAAACTGTGAGCTAGCTCACATTAACTCAGCTTAGAGGGAACACTGCTCTGCACCATCCTCTATAATGACAGCCCTTCAAGTACTTGAAGATGGTTCTCATATCCCCTCTCAGTCGTCTCCTCTCCAGGCTAAACATATCCAGCTCCTTCAGCCTTTCCTCATAGGACTTGTTCTCCAGACCCCTCACTGTCTTCATTGCTCTCCTCTGGACACGTTCCAGCTTGTCTATATCTTTCTTAAATTGTGGTGCCCAAAACTGAACACAATACTCTAGGTGAGGTCTAACCAGAGCAGAGTCAAATGATACCATCACTTCACGTGATCTGGACACTGTACTTCTGTTGATACACCCCCAGAATCGCATTTGCCTTTTTAGCTGCCGCATCACACTGCCGACTCGTGTTCACTGTATGGTCCACTAAGACCCCTAGATCCTTCTCATACACACTACACTTTGAACATTACAGAGAGGCGTCGCACACCGGAAGCGTGGCGCCTCTTTGTCTCCTTTCCTGCAGGTGTCTCCGTTGGTTTGAAGCTGCCCTGGTGCTCTCCGCTTTGGCGTTTGGCGACTGGGTGCAGCTTTCCCCTTCGGTGGAGGTTGGCTCGCAGGAGCCTGGAATTTGGACAGCAACCTGTTTTCCTCTCCTGTGCCCTTTTAGGTCAGGGTGCGAATCATCGAAGGGCGGCAGCTCCCTGGAGTCAATATCAGGCCTGTGGTGAAGGTCACGGCCGCCGGACAAACCAAGAGGACCAGGATCCGGAAAGGGAATGGCCCGCTCTTTGATGAGGTGAGGCAGAGGCGGAAGCACAGAAAGACAGTTGCGTTTAGGACTGCTGTTGCATGTAGTCGGGTGCATTGCTGCATTCTGCATCAGGCTGAAGTTGTTCCCAGGTCCAGAATTCTGCCTGGGGTTGCCAGCTCTGCTTTGGGGGAAACCTGGAGATTTCTGGGGTGGAGTCTGAGGAGGGCGGGGTTTGGAGAGGGGGGGGTACCTCAGTGGGGTGTAATGCCATACAGTCCAAAGGAGCCACTTCTTCCAGGGAGATCTGGAGATCAGTTGTAATAACGGGATATCTTCAGGCCCGACCTGGAGGTTATATAATCCAGAGAGAATCCACGGGAACAAGGTAGAGTTTAAAAAATCCCCAAACCGTGAAGTTATAACTATGGCAACTTCAATATGTCAAGTAGCGAGGATGGAAGAGCCTCAGCCTTGGCATGCAGAAGGTCCCAGGTTCAATCCCCGGCATCTCCGGTTAGAAAGGTCCAGGCAGGAGGTGATGGGAAAGACCTCCGCCTGAGACCCTGGAGAGCTGTAAAGAGGGGCTGTGGCTCAGTGGAAGAGCCTCTGCTTGGCATGCAGAAGGTCCCAGGTTCAATCCCCGGCATCTCCGGTTAGAAAGGACCAGGGAGGAGGTGATGGGAAAGACCTCCGCCTGAGACCCTGGAGAGCTGTAAAGAGGGGCTGTGGCTCAGTGGCAGAGCCTCTGCTTGGCATGCAGAAGGTCCCAGGTTCAATCCCCGGCATCTCCAGTTAAAACGAACAGGGAGGAGGTGATGGGAAAGACCTCCGCCTGAGACCCTGGAGAGCTGTAAAGAGGGGCTGTGGCTCAGTGGCAGAGCCTCTGCTTGGCATGCAGAAGGTCCCAGGTTCAATCCCCGGCATCTCCAATTAAAAAGGACCAGGCAGGAGGTGATGGGAAAGACCTCGGCCTGAGACCCTGGAGAGCTGCTGCCAGTCTGAGTTAGACAAGACTGACCTCGGTGGTCTGATTCAGTATAAGGCAGCTTCTCAGGTGATGACCCCAAGAATTACTCTTGTGGCTGTTCTTTTAGGACAGTGATGGTGAACCTTTTAGAGACCGAGTGCCCAAACTGCGACCCCAAACCCACTTATTTATTGTAAAGTGCCAACACGGCGATTTAACCTGAATACTGAGGTGTATACCTGGCGTGATCTTGTCCATGGGGTCGCGAAGAGTCGGACTCGACTGTGCGACTGAACAACAACAACTGAGGTTTTACTTTAGAAAAAACAACTCCTACGTTAACATAAGATGATCCAAACAAAGTAAGGAAAGCAATCCCAAATGCTTTCATTGACTTAAAATTATTTCGCGGAGAATTCGACACTTTAATGATGGTCTGGGCCTGGCTGGGGCGATGGCACGCGTGTCCACAGAGAGGGCTCTGAGTGCCACCTCTGGCACCCATGCCATAGGTTCGCCACCACTGCTTTAGGAGGTCCCCACAGGCCGGCTTCACTGCAGGGCATTGCTGGCTGCTGGTTGTTGGATCCCCAGGCATTCGAAGTAACTCCACGTTTGATTCAAAGCAAGGTTTATTTCAAAGCGATGGTTCAGACAGGAACAAGGATATTGTTAGGAATGACTACCAATACACAGGTATAGCATAATAAAGGGATTTGAACCATGTTGGGCCAATGAGGCCAGTTCCCGCTGGCGGGACTAGAACTCGTAAACGCGCGCCTATTCCATGGGAACGTAACAGTTCAGTACCATCAACACAGGTTCAGTTCACAGGGTAGATAACCATAACAAGCTTAGCGAAGCTCCAACTCCCACCACCAGCTGCATGACCTTGGCCAGCCGCAAAATACAGAGAAGCATACTGAAGCTACAGAAACCCAGGGGGGGGGGGAAGAGCACAAGACATATGAAGCATGTAACATCAGATACAATGGCAGCTAGCTGACACTGGTGTATATCCCCTTCTGTGTTTTTTCTCAGTGTCCTGGGTGCCACTGTGTGTCTTTTTCTCTCTTCCGCAGACCTTCTTCTTCAATGTCTTTGAGTCTCCCATGGAGTTGTTTGATGAACCCATTTTCATCACGGTACGTCTGGGATGGTGCGTGTTTGTGTGCTGCCTTCCTTGATGGATGGAGCACCGCTGATAGTGGCTCGTAGGAGAGGCAGCGTGGTGTCGTGGTGAGATGGTCAGACTCGAATCTGGGAGTCCCAGGTCCAAATCCCCACTCTGCCATGGAAGCTTTGCCAGGTGACTTCAGGTCAGTCACACCCTCTCAGCCTGACCTACCCTACAGGGTTGTTGTGAGGATAAAATGGAGAAGAGGAGGATATATTAAGCTACTTTGGGTCTCCATCGGTGAGAAGAGTGGGATACTACACCAGTTTGGCGTAGTAGCTAGTAGCGCGGGCTCTAATCTGGGAGAACTGGGTTTGATTCTCCACTCCTCCTCCACATGCAGCTGCTGGGTAACCTTGGGTCAGTCATAAGTTCCTTCAGAGCTGTTCTATCAAGGGTAGTTCTCAAGAGAGCTCTCTCAGCCCCACCTACCTCACAGGGGTTGTTGTGGGGAGGGGAAGGGAAGGGAAAGGAGTTTGTAAGCCGCTCTGAGACTCCTTTGGGTAGTGAAGGGCGGGGTTTAGATCCAGTCTCCTCCTCCTCCTCCTCCTCCTCCTTCTCCTTCTTGCTCTTCTTCTTCATTAAGCAAATAAATAAATATGGGCTGACGTGGAGGGGAGGGGGAAATTGTTGCCGTATCCCACCGTCTTGCTAAGTTCTTCGCTAGTCACAGGTGGATGGCGTGATGCCCTTGGATTCTCATGAGACTGAGTTGCAAACCTGCTCCCAAAATGTAGACATCACCAAATGTTCACCTGGTAAAATGCTGATATGATGTCAGAACTCAACCTTAAAACAAAAGCTGACATTAAAACAAATATTTTAAACATGATGCCAAAATTCAAAATCTAACTCTTTTTGATTGGAGAAATATGTGAAGCTAATGTGAAATTTACTAACTTCTTCTGCCCGTCAGATACTGTCATGTGTGGATTCTGTTAATTAGTACTTTGCTTCATCAGAGAAGCCACCGTTGCACTCTGTTTACCACCACTTGGGACCTAGTGGCAGAGTACAACGGTGTAAACGGCTTTGTAACGGTTAGGGACGGGAGGCAGATGTTCGCCATGTGAACGCCGGTAAGTACACCGGTTGGAATCGTCACCTATTCCGTTACAAATGCCGCATCTGAACGCACTCAGTATGCATTAAGTTCCCCCACTCAGGAGCATGGAAGTCCACGTTCCCCAAAAGACTCAACCCCATAGGAAGATTCTCGTATTGAACAGAGATCATAAGAACTGTCACTACACTGAATTCTGGTTTTCTATTGCAGGTCTTTGATTCCCGTTCTCTTCGGACCGACTCCGTTATTGGAGAATTCCGGGTAATGGTGGTCTTCATTCCATTGTATGATTAAGGAAAGGGACCCACCTTTTTGGCTGGGCTTTAGACATCTAAAAAAACAGTTTAGCACAGTCAGTGCCACATCTAATTGCTTTGCAAGTCGCGGGTGGGCTTCTGCTAGCAACAATAGAACAAGCTTGTGTTGAGCGCTGTGAGAAGTTTATCTAGGGGAGTCGGCTAAGACCGGGGTGGCCAAACTGTGGCTTAGGAGCCGCATGTGGCTCTTTCACACATACTGTGCGGCTCCTGGCAGGGCGGCTGGGGAAGCTAAATGTCATTAGCAAACAAATATCACTGGACAAATAAATATCATTATAAATATCTGCATTTACCGCTTTTGATATTATCTTTGGCTGTCTTGTTTAATGTTAATAAAAAGCAAATTTGCATATTTCCCGGTAAAAACATGTAGTATTTGTCCACGTCTTGTGGCTGCAGTGGCTCAAGTGGTTAAGACGCTGAACTGCAGGCTGTGGAAAGTCTGTAGTTCAGCAGTTTGAGACCTGGGTGCCGCATGACGGAGTGAGCTCCTGTCTCTAGTTCCTACTCCTGCCAACCTAGCAGTTCGAAAGCAAGTAGAGAAATAGGGACCACTTCGGTAGCCAAATTGCTCACTCACAACTTGAATGCCAGTAGCTCACAAAGTAGAATTTTTGCTCACAAGACTCCACAGCTTAGAGGGAACATTGATTGTGAGTGATCTGTAGCCCTCACCTGGAGATTGGCAGCAATTGTTACCCAGGACAAAGTGGCTGGTTTGGAGGGTGTAGTCTATGGCATTCTACCTGTCTGAGGTCCCACCCCTCTGCAAACCCCACCCTCTCCAGGCTCCACCCCTCAAATCCCCAGGAATTTGTCAGCATGTAGTTGGCAACCCCATCTCCTTCCCAGCTAACCATCAACCTACCATTATCTGCCCCTTTGACTTCAGCTGACTTCTGCCCTCCCTTCTGCAGAGCAGTTGTAATTCTGAGTGCTCTCCAGTCCTCACCTGGAGATTGGCAACAATGGTTCCCTATGTGGGACTGACTGGTTTGGAGGGTGGAGTCTATGGCAGTGTACCTGTCTGAGGTCCCACCCCTCCTCAAACCTCACCCTCTTCAGGCTCCATCCCTCAAATCTCCAGGAATTTCCCATCTGGAGTTGGCAACCCTATCAGGACTGGCCCCAATGTGTTTTCTCCCAAAGGCCAAAGTAGGTGACAGGACCAAGCTTAGTTGCCTACCAACAGGCATTGAGGGGAATGTAGGGTTGCCAGCTCTAAGGAGGGAAATACCCGGAGTTTTGGGGGGTGGAGTCTGTAGAGGGCAGCATCTTATTTTGCCTTAAATTGGTTTTGATGTCAGCAGAGTGAGAAAATGCCAGAGGCTCTGGGTGGGTGCCTGTCTTGTCTTCAAGTTTACTTCCCCCCCCCCAGCCTCTGCCTAGGGAAAGCAGCTGTCATCATTCTCCTCTCCCCCTATGAGGTATGTTAAGGTTGAAAGTGTGTGAATGGTCCATAATCCCCCAGGCAGCTTTTAAAACATGATCCTGGGACCTACACACCACCAATTCCAACTGCCTTGCGGGGGGGGGGGAGTATGAGGTGTGGAATGGAGTGAAGTCCAATCAGCTTCCATATGCAAAAGACCTTGAAGGTTCCATATGCAACTGACATTCCAACTGCCTTGCGGGGAGGGGGTTGAGTTTGAGGTGTGGAATGCAGTGAAGTCCAATCAGCTTCCATATGCAAAAGACCTTGAAACACTGGGCGGGACTGCACAAAGCAGCCAGTCAACCCAGCCAGCGTCTTCTGACTGACAGTTCAAGCGTCCATACACTAAAGGAGTGCATTTTAGAACTTTGGCACCCACTATTCAATTATATATAAGAAGAGATAATATCTCCTACATCTGAGTCTCTTGAGCTGCGGTGGCTCAAGTGGTTAAAACGCTGAACTGCAGGCTGTGGAAGGTCAGTAGTTCAGCAGTTCAAGACCCGAGTGTGCCGCATGACGGAGTGAGCTCCTGTCTCTAGTTCCAGCTCCTGCCAACCTAGCAGTTCGAAAGCAAGACATTGCAAGTAGATAAATAGGGACCACTTCAGTGGGAAGGTAACAGCGTTCCGTGCGCCTCGGTGTTTAGTCATGCCGGCCACATGACCACAGAAACGTCTTTGGACAGCGCTGGCTCTTCGGCTTTGAAACGGAGATGAGCACCGCAACCCTAGAGTTGGATTCGACTGGCTTTTGAGCAAGGGAACCTTTACCTTTACCTATATATCACACTATCAAATATAATATCTCCTACATTTGAGTCTACTTTACATTGTTTCCCATCCATTTATATACTCTTGACTGCTTTTTAATAGCGGTTAAGGGTTGAGATTGGCCTTCTTGACTCGCTATATCCAATGCAACTCACATGCACCTGGCTGATTGGCTTTTGGATCTCGTGTTACGATGGGATCTTTTTGTGAGGCACGTGAGAAGGGAGATGGGTGTGGTAATCAGTTGAGGGTCTGGTGTTGGTAGGGTTGCCATTCTTCAGGCGAGGCATGGAAATCGCCGGGAATTACGGCAGGTCTCCAGACGACAGGCATCAGTTCCCCTAGAGCAAATAGCTGTTCTGGAGCGTGGATGCTATGGCATTACAACTTGCTGAGGTCCAGTTTGATGTAGTGGTTTAGGAGCACAGACTCTAATCTGGGAGAACTGGTTTTGATTCCCCGCTCCTCCACGTGCACCTGGCTGAATGACCTTGGGTCAGTCACAAGTTCTCTCAGAGCTGTTCTCTCAAGGGCAGTCCTCGAAAGAGCTCTCTCAGCCCCGCCGACCTTCCAGGGTGTCTGTTGTGGGGAGGGGAAGGGAAAGGAGTTTGTAAGCCGCTCTGAGACTCCTTTGGGTAGTGAAGGGCGGGGTATCAATCCAATCTCTTCCTCCCCCCCCTCGAAATCCTGTCCTCCCCAGGCTCCACCCCCCAAATAGCTAGGAATTCCCCAGTCTGGATTGGGCAACCATAGGTGTTGGGCTGTTGAAGAGCATCTCTGAAGATTTATGAAACCCCACTGGAAAATGTCATAAATGCTTGTTTGTTTGTGGTTGAATTTGCAGATGGACGTTGGGACAATTTACGCCGAACCCAGTGAGTGCCATAATCTTGGAAACGATATGCGTGATATGACACAGGGGAAAGACTGGGACGCTGCATTTTGCTTCTTCTTCTTCCAAACAGTTTAAATGGAGAATTTAAAAAAGGGGGGGGGAGGGAGATGCAGACCTTGAGGCTGGGGGTTGGGGAAGAGAAGGACATTCAAAAAGACAGGTATAAAGTCAAAATGCTTGAAGGACACTCTGGCTGCCAGAGTCGTGTGCAGGGAAAAATTATTGCTGGGGAGGAGGGCAGGGGGCCAGATTTAGACGCAAAGGCAGATTGCGGTACCCAGTAGCAGAAGTGGGGTTCCCAACCTCCAGGTGAGGCCTGGGGCTCTATTGGAATTACAGCTTCTCTCCAGAGGAGTTAGCCATGTTAAGTCTGTTGCTGCAAAACAATAAAAAGCCCAGTAGCACCTTTAGGGCTAACAAACTTTATTGTAGCATAAGCTTTCGAGAAACAGAGCTCTCTTCACCTGAGGTTCAAGACCTGAGTGGGGCATAGTGTCATAGAGTTCACCCTCCAAAGCCAGCTGCTTTATGAGGTTGACAACCCCAATGCTGTGCCTTCTGGGTTTTTTTATATATTGAATGCAGTTATGTTTCACTTACTAATTGGTTATGTGACACCTGCTGCAAATGAAGAAGAAGACGATGACGAAGAGATTGGATTTCTATCCCGCCTTTCACTCAGAGTCTCACAGCGGCTTACAATCTCCTTTCCCTCCCCCTCCTCCTAACAGACACCTTGTGAGGTAGGTGAGGCTGAGAGAGCTCTCCCGAGAACTGCCCTTGAGAGAACAGCTCTGAGAGAACTGTGACTGACCCAAGGTCACACCAACAGCTGCATGTAGAGGCATGGGGAATCAAACCTGGTTCTCCAGATTAGAGTCCGCCGCTCTTATCCGCTTCACCAAGTGAAGAAACTTTCCTGCTGGTGCCTCTTGGGGAGTCTAAACCCTGCTGGTAAAATCAGAGGTTTGGGTGGTAAAGGCTGCTGAACAATGGACTCTGTTTCTTGAAAATTCACCTTCTGTCCTTCCCCCACACTTGGCCAAGGCTGCCTGTCCACTGTTTCGCCTCCTATCAAGGCCAGCAGATAGCAAACCAAAGGAAACAGGATACATTGGGAGCAGTGTTCCCTCTAAGCTGAGTTAGTGTGGGCCAGCTCACCGTTGTTTCGCCTCCGGCTCACACATTTTTGTCTTTGCTCAGGAAGGAGGGTTCCAGAGCAAACTAATTGATGCAGGAGCCAAATCGCTCACTCACAATTTTAATGCCAGTAGCTTACAAAGTAGAATTTTTGCTCACAAGACTCCACAGCTTAGAGGGAGCATTGATTGGGAGGCTGCTTTGGAATGCCCTGGCTCCCCCTCATTGACCATTGCCCCTTTCTAATACAGGATGAAGCCACGTGAGAACTCCTTCTCCACGGTGCTGTCCTCTGGAGCTGTGGTCCCTGACCTGGATCCTGCTGTCAGTGAACGGCTCGCTCCCCTTGAGGAACTGAACTTCCTTATTCTTAGCAAGATTTTTACCCTCCCTTTCTGCCCCCATAGGACCACCAAGGGCGGCTCACAGTTTAAAAGATACATGATAAAATCATGTTTTAAAACCATTAAAATCACACACACACCCAAATCGTGAAAACAATTTAAAACAAATTAAAGTACATACAAAACTTAAAAACTGCAATTAAAGCACTGGGTAGGAACGAAGGATCATTGAAGGAATGGGAAGCAAAGCAAAAGTCTTCACCTGCTGGTGGAAGATGGCAACGGAAGGGGTCAGACGAATCCCCCCGGAGGAGAGAGCTCCAGAGCTTTGGTGCCACTACCAAGAAGGCCCTCTCTGGCGTTGCCACCCGCCTAATCTCAGAAGGTGGGGGCTCCCAAAAACATGTCTTCTGAAGATGACCGCAGTGGTTAGGTATGTTCATAAGGAGTTACCATGTGTGGAAAAACTGGGTTAGGGTGGCCAGCTCTGGGTTGGGAAATACCTGGAGATTTTGGGGGTGGAGCCTTAGGAGGGTGGGGCTCGGGGAGGGGAGGGCTAAGTGGGGCATAATGCCATAGAGTCCATCTTCCAAAGCGGCCATTTTCCCCAGGGGAACTAATCTCTGCCACCTAGAGATCAGCTGTAATCCCAGGAGATCTCCGGCTACCACCTGGAGGTTGGCAACCCTAGGTTAGATGCATATATGGCTAACCTAACTTTAATAAACAAACTTTCTTACTTTCTGCTGTAGTCTCAGTCCTTTCTCTACACCCCCAGTGCTGCCTCCCTCAGTGTTCAGGAGGCCCCCAGGATAGGGTTGCCAAGTCTTACCTGCTGCTGGAGTGGGGGGGGGGCTCCCGGCTTGTTCCTGGAGCCTGCGCCCGC